TGGATGGCCGATCAATGTAAAATTTTGAAATGAGATTGTACCCAAAAAAACAAAAGAAGATAAGAAACTGGATATGAAAAGTTGCAGTTGATACCTTGCTCAATAATGATATCTATCACTAAAGGTAGAGGAACATGCTTTTCAAATTTTATGTCTTTCCAAAATGGTATAAATGAAGGTCTTGACACCTACAATTGACACAAAAAGCAGCTGTATCAGCTCTATATTGTCTTAAGGAAACAGCATGACTTGACCAAGCTATGCATACCTTGTAAACTATTTCATCTGGAGTAAGGTAAAGTTTGCGTGATGAAATTTCCTTTTTAAGCACATATCTTCGCATAGGCAAATAGAGTAACATAAGTATTCCAATTCCCCAAGCTAAAACCAGAAGCAATGATATAGAGAGCCATATTATAGTGTCATACTGAACACTTTTCTCTCCAAGTTCATCAAAAGAAGCCATATATAGTATCTTCTCAGGAGTATCAGCTTCTTCATCTCCATCTGACTCTGATTCAGGGTCAGAAAGCAACAACTTTGTCGATGAACTGAGTTTTGAAACCCCTTCTACATGTCCCATCAACATTTTCCAGTTCAAGCCTGAATATTGTCCGAAAACATAAACACAAACATGCCAGCAAATACAACACATGTCAAAGTTGAGCTTCCATTACAATGATTGATCCACAACGCTTAGTCACCAAACTTGACGCTATGTCAAAGAATTTAAGGTCATGTGAAATGCATCTCTTATGAGAAGAGATTACATTAAGATGGATAATCAGTTTTATTTCATTCTCTTATTGTTCTAATAAAGTTGAATGATAAAACTACTAAAAGACAATCAAAGGCCCTCAATCTTAACTGCATTTCCATTTTCTAGTCTTGTTCTCACTTTTTTCCCCAATGAACCAACAAAATTTTATTGCTGTATAGTGTACATCAGGAGAATGTTCAATAAACAAAAACAGATTCTACAACTGGTAGAAAATGTTCACACAAAGAAACTGTTTTTTCCCTTTTCTTGATTATGAGAGATACAATCAATTTTCACTCGATAATCCCACAACCGGGGTCGGAGAAGGGTAACGTGTACACAGACAAGAAATGAATAAAAAGAACAAAACTTTAGGACAATCCAGTACATTTGTTGCGATGAAGAATCAAGATTTTGAAAACCCAGAAACTAAATCAGCATTATCATACTCAAACACAAATGAATCATAATAATTTTTAGTACCTGAGTAATACACAAGAATTGGAAAGTTTCTTCCTTTTCGCAGCTTCGGATTACAGGAAAGAAGGGAGATAGTACAAATGTAAGTAATTTTGCTAAGGGTATGTGATTTAAGGTAAAAAATTTGATCCAATTTGTTAGGGTTTGATTTTGGGAATGCTGGCTGAAACTGTTCATGAAATTCGCAGTGTACCCAAAAATTGCTGCACCTGACTGACACTGACCAAACATTCAAATCACCCGCAAGAAAAAAAAAAAAAGAGTTATTCGGATGATCCGACCCGATTATTTTGCTATTTGGGTTAGTTGATCGGTTAGACTCGGCTTTAAATAGTGTTCTCAGAAAAGGCCAATTGTGCCATGATAAAGTTTTGAAAATTTTAATTTTGAGAATTACACGTGTCAAGTATTATTTACACTATGTCAATTATTGTTTTCACTATGGAGTAGTCATTTTCTACGTTACATTTTTCAAAATATTGTATTTATTACTTCCTTTGTCCCTAATTACTTGTCCACTTTTGAATTGACACACTTATAAAGAAAATAATAATTGACATACTGACTTTAACATTTTACCCCTATTAATTATGAAGTGGGTGAGTTAAAAATTTATATACTTCCTCTGTCCCTAATTACTTGTCCACTTTTGAATTGACACACTTATAAAGAAAATAATAATTGACATACTGACTTTAACATTTTACCCCTATTAATTATGAAGTGGGTGAGTTAAAAATTTAAGTTTTTCAAAAAGTTCTACTTTTTTCAAAGTAATTAATTGAGGATATAATAAGTAAAAAAAAATTTATCCTTTCTTGATTTGTCAAAATGGACAAATAATTAAAGACAACTAAAAAATGAAAAGTGAACAAGTAATTAGGGACAGAGAGAGTATATTTAAAGGGTGATATAGTAAACGTATTCATCTATTTATAGTTTCTTAAGAAGTGTGCAAAGTCAATAGAGGACAATTTTTGTAGGACATAGGGAGCAATATGTACACATAACTCTGTCCACCAAGACTGGGATAAATAAAAAGAATCACCTAATATTTTGTTAAGGATATTTATAACCTAAAGAAAACGTTAAAGGAAATCTAAAGATCAAAAGATAGATAAAAGATATTGATGAGCCATTTTGAATATATTAAGACCATTTTTTTGTTTATAATTTACTCCCTCCGTTTAAAAAGGAATGACCTCCTTTCCTTTTTTAGTCTGTTTCAAAAAGAATGACCTCTTTCCTTTTTTGGTAACATTTTAATTTCAGTTTTTCACGTGGCATGTTTAAAGCCACAAGATTGAAGGGTAATTTAGTACATTTGACATAACTTTAATTTAGGACCACGAGTAGGGGTGTTCATGGTTTGGATAAAAACCGATCCAAATCGAAAAACCAAACCAAACTGATTAAATGAACCGATTTAATTTGGGTTTTGATTTGGTTTGGTTTTAGATTGTTAAAGAACCGATAGTATTTGATTTGGTCATGGTTTTTGTTCGGAAAAAAATCGAAGAAATAACCGAACCGAACCAACAAGTTATATACATAAAATTTTTTTATTATACATACATAATATATTATATTCATAAACAATTTTAAAGATTTTATATATGTTTCATCAAATTTATTTATAATTTACTTATGAAAGAAAAAATGTCCAAGGTGAGAACATTTTTTTTATTGGTTTCATATATATGAGTGTCTATGCAAATTCTTTGTGGGACTGAAAATGTCATTGTCTCTTCCTTCTATGACAAAATAGCGAATTTTGAAGTTTTATTCAGTAAATTCAATGATCGAAAGTTCTGTAATG